CAAAACTCCAAGTAGAACATCACTGAATCAATTATGCGAGTAAACAAGATTGGGTGGTTCTAATTTGTGTGTTTGATAGGAAGAGGCATCACTCGGTAAGATAGTTCTTCGTTGAAACGAAAGATTCACCATTTATCTGTTTGCAGGAATGGTTTCCAGAGGTTGGATAAGATCAAGGATTCAACTAGACAAAGCAAGCAACTAGAGGAGCTTACTGAGAAGATGCGAGAGTGTAAAAGGTATGCTTCGGCTTTTTTTTAGCATCGTTGCATTTCTCATGTACTTAATCTTGCAAGTCTTTCATATGCGTTTGGTGGAATGTGCTGTTTGATGATAGTAATTCTTGCTTCTTTTTTTCTTATTTAATGTGTAATTCATGGCAGGTTGGTCAAGGAGTTCGACCGGGAACTCAAGGACGAGGAAGCTAGAAATTCTCCTGAAGTAAATAAGCAATTGAACGATGAGAAACAATCTATGGTGAGCTATTATCCACCACGATCAGTGTGTTGATGAAATTCACTGAGGTCTTTGTTTAACGAAACTATAATGTAATGCTTTTTAATCTTTTGCCTTGTGTTTAATGTTACAGATCAAGGAACTCAATTCTTACGTTGCGCTAAGAAAAACGTAAGTGCTTCTATCATTCCTTTTTAAGAAGCTGATTATTTGAATTGATTTCATATTGATCTGTTCAGCATATGTCTGTAGGGTTTTGTTTGGTTTTAATTTGTTCATACATGTTAACTTGGTCTGTGACTTCAGGTATATGAGTACCCTTGGCAACAAGAAAGTTGAACTTCTTGATATGGGAGCTGGAGTCAGTGGGGAACCTACAGCTGAAGAAAATGTTCAAGTGGCTTCATGTGAGTCCTTATGCATGCTTGTCTATTCACTACCAACATATTAGTTTGCTTAGAACATCAAAAGATTGAATATATTCTCTCTGGTTATATTTACTTGAATATATTGGATTGGTAACTTATGCTCTCTGGTGAATCGTCTGGCATAATTTGTGATGTGTCTCAGTATATTTGGCATAGGTCCTGGATAAGAAATAACCTATTTGAATTTGGCCCAAAGTAGATTAGTTTGGTAAAGTAAAAACGGGGAAAGATATGGAGCTCATATCATTTTGTGTATAGCTATGTCAAATCAGCAGCTGGTTGATGCTGGACTGCAAAGAATGGATGAGACTGATCAGGCCATTGAACGCTCAAAACAGGTAAGTAACAGAAGGTAGTGTGTTCCACTTAGCCGTTGCTGCTATATCTATGGTAACATTCTTGTTCCTTTTAGGTCGTAGAACAGACAATCGAAGTTGGAACTCAAACTGCTGCTAATTTAAAAGGACAGGTAATGCAAAGTGTTTCTCCGTCTCTTCCCTATTAGTCTTATGAGTAGTCTTACTCAATGAGCTTGGAAATATCGCAGACGGATCAAATGGGACGTGTTGTTAATCACTTGGACACGATTCAATTCTCTATCAAGAAGGCTTCCCAACTGGTGAAAGAGATAGGGAGACAGGTTTGTAACCACATATGGACATAGATTTCCCCTTTTGCTGACTTCAAAAACTGAATATCTATTGTCTACTTATTTCAGGTGGCTACCGATAAATGCATAATGATGTTCTTGTTTCTCATTGTATGCGGTGTAATAGCCATTATCATAGTGAAGGTACAGTCTTTGCTCTTTCCAATAGAAGTTGTGATTGCTCATTATCAAAGTTGTAACTCTGGTTTGTTTTTTGTATAAACTCTTCAGATTGTGAACCCGAATAACAAAGACATTAGGGACATCCCAGGATTAGCTCCTCCAGCGCAATCGAGGAAGCTATTGTACTTGAGGAATCAAGACTATATGGGAAGATAGAAATCTCTCTTTGTATATTTATTCACGTGGAATGAGGAAATTACATGTTGAGGTTCGAT